TATGGGGATTTCCAAAAAAACAGATGCCCTTTTTGGGGCATCCCTTGAATCACGATTACTTAGGGACCAAGAGATCGAAACCCTAAACCCCTCAACCCCTAAACCTCTAAACCCTTTAACCCCTCAACCCCTTAACCCCTTAATCGCTCAATCCCTAAACCCCTAAATCCCTAAACCCCTAAATCCCTAAACCCCTTAACCCCTTAACCCCTAAATCCCTAAACCCCTAAACCCCTAAACTCCTTAACCCCTAAACCCTCAACCCCTAAACCCTATCCCGTCTGCACCTGATGGAGTGCTCCTGCTCGATGACCTGCCAGGCTGCAGGTTGACAGGGCTTTGGTAGTTTAGGGCTTTGGGTTTAGAGTTTAGGGCTTAGGGTTTAGGGCTTAGGGTTTAGGGCTTAGGCCTTACGGCTTAGCTTTTAGGGTTTAGGGCTTAGTGTTTAGGGTTTAGATGGGTTTAGGGCTTACGGTTTAGGGTTTAGGGTTCCGATACAAGGGTTGGGGTTTAGGTTTTAGGGATTAGGGTTTTGGGTTTGACAGGATGTGGTCGTTCCCATAAACGGGAGACTTCTTTGGAAGCTTAGGGGGCTTAGGGTATGTAACCCATGGAGAAACAAATTGAAAAGACAATGGAAGATAACATGGAAAACAACATCCAACAGAACATGGAAGATGAATGAAGTGGAAGCTGCCACATCATATTTGAAACTGTATGATGCTATATGGAGATTGTATGGTAGTTTCCCTAAATAGGGACCCCAATATAGACCCCAACATACGATAATCCTCTTTCCAGGAAAACCAACCCTCCAAGAAAACAAATACCCATGATTTCAGGAAACCCCAAAAAACCCTCGAAGTCCAACTGGAAATGCGCAACCCTAAAATCTAATCCTACACCCTAATCCCTAAACCATAATTCCTAAACCCCAGTCCCCAGTCCTTAAGCCCTAAACCTTGGACTGAGACCCAGGCTTTGGGAGCAATCTCCTGAAAGCAGCACTGCTCGGCAGAAGTTCAATAGGGTTTAGGGATTAGGGTTTAGGGATTAAGGTTTAGGGATTAGGGTTTAGGGATTATAAAGTGTAGGGATTAGGGTTTAGGGATTAAGGTTTAGGGATTAGCGTTTAGGGATTTGGACTTCGGCGTTGAAGATTAACCCAGTTTTCCAGCAACATCCTGACACCAGTGCAAGAGCGGCACTCCTTTAGAAACAACCTGCTTCCAATTGATTTTTCATTTGAGTTTCGTTGTTGTTGAGGTAATATCGGGCAGTATCCGTATATAACCCCTTTCAAGATGCCCAGAATTTGCATGGATTTCCATGACATGTTCTATGTTCTTTTCCATGTCATTCTCCAGTATTTGGGGATAGAACAACAAGTCCGCTGCACCAGTCGGTCCCGCAGTTGTGAGAGCAGGTCAGTGACCCGAGACCCAAGGTCATCGCGGTCTCGCATCTCCTTCCCAGTAGTAGTGGTAATAGTCGTGGCAATAATTATAGCAGTAACAATAATTGTAACTGTAAGAGTGAGAGTAAAAGCAAGAGAAATAGCAGCAGTAATAATCATAGTGACAATAGGGATGGTAGTAAGACTAGTTGCAAGTAGGTTGGGCATACTACGATTCCACACGGATGAAAAGCAGCCTTCGCAGCGTCTGAGTTTGAAATGCGCTCTCTCTGACTGTATTATCCACATGCCGCGCTCACGTTCGTTCGGTTTTGTGCAGCCCGCAAACCCATCTTGCAGCCTCCGGGTAACCCTAAACCCACAACCCTAAACCCTAAACCCCCCATGTCTTTAGGGTTTAGGGTTTAGGGTTAATTGGAACCCCCCCAACATACTATTGACCCTCCCTTGATCTCCTGCAAGTTCAAGCTGAGGGTCTTCACTTGATCCTGACCAGCCACAACTGGGTAGTTCCCTATGGAAAAATGGAAACTACAGGAATTAGAAGGGTTATACAGGGGATATGTAGGGATTACAGTGTATATATTGGGGTTACATGTTGGGATAATGGAAAATAAAATGGAAACCACTCTATTATAAGGGTTATATTGGGGTTGTATAGGGATAATGGAAAATGGAAACTACTATATTATAATAGGGTTATATTGGGTAGTTCCCAAAATCAGGGTCCCATTTTGGTAGCGTCAATGGAGAATCAGATGGAAGAAATGGAAAATGAAATGGAAACTGTGATCATGTAGGGGTTTGTGGGGTGTTAGGGTTTCCCAAAATTAGGGTCCAATTTTGGTACCCCTGAATATTAGGTGCCGTAAAATGATCTATAACCAGCAGGTGCCAATAATTTCAGGAACTACCCGAAACCCTATATAACCCCTATATAATCCCTTTGTAACCTAAATATAACCCCTATAATTCCTGTAGTTTCCATTTTCTTTTCAGTATCCCCACATAACCCCAACATGACCCTATGTAACTCCTATGTAAACCCTCCATAGTTTCCATGTTCTTTTCCAGTATCCCAATGTATAACCCCAACATGACCCTATCATGATTCGGCTTCACACTTCCACAGACATCCAAAGCAAAAGCTTCAAGCACTCTCAATGCCAAGGAAGAAGTGAGTAGCGTTTTTCTGGTGGTTGAACCCAGTACGATTATATCCTTTGTATGAAATACTACACCCCAAAAGGAAGATATAATCTTACTCTATATTGAGTACCATAGTATCCCCAATACAATACTACTCAAGTAACATGAGGCCTCTAGCCCGGCAACGGCAACTGCCGCGTCGGCGTCCTGATAGCGCATGGCAGCTGTTCGAACTATTCCCTATACAATCCTTCATAGACTGGGACCTTCATCATCCTCTGATTATCTCCAGATATTCTTGCGGTACCGCTGTTCAGAGAAAAAACACATTCAAGGCATGCATCGGAGCACTGCTTCAGTAGTTGGGTCTAGGCTTGCTTCAAAGGTTGGAATCGCGGGCCCCCTGCACGGGTCCCTCGGAATGCTGAGCATCCAAATAAGCCCCTTCCGACACCACTAACCCAGTGATCTTCTTAAACTCTGGGCAAGCATCAAGAAGAGCCTGCTTGCCATTGGTGAGGGACGCTAGCTGGTCCAGAGCCTCAGAATCCAGTTTAGGCCTTTATCTTAGTAGCTTACTGGTGGTTAATAGGGAAGAAGGGACGATAACCCCTATGTACTCCCTGTATAATATGTTCACTTATTCCCTACCCTAGACCCTAAACCCTAGGCCTTACTATAACCCCTGAATGGATCCCTATAAAAACCAGCTATCGTAACTAACACACATAATACGCAGAGACTAAACTGGCTCTATCGGCTCCATCTTCTTTTCCAGTTCTTCCCTAATAAAATGGAAGCTACTATATCATAATATTGGGGTCGTATTGGGGTTATATAGGGATAATGGAAAATAAAATGGACACTACTATACTACAATAGGGTTATATTGGATCCATCCATCTCTCGTGTTGAGCCCCTGGCATGCTGCAGCTGTTCATGGACCTGCTCATTGTCCTCCACCCTCACCGCGCGTTATGGAATTCAAGCAGGCTTTGTCAAAGACACTGCAAAGCATAGCGAGGGTCACACTTTTTGGAGAGAAGCTCAAGCTTCTCCACCTCAAGCGTTCTCTGCTTGTGGTTCTCTTGCAGCGCCTGCGGACGGAAATGTCTAGATCACTGGCGGTAGGTGAACACTGGGGGCTGCCAAGGCCTGACGTATCTGCTCAAGCTTTACGTCCCAATCACTTCGCTCAACGCGCTCCGCAAGGATTCGCAGATGCTCCTTCAGCAAGCTTGAACAAGTTCAGTGGGTTCTTCTCAAGATTATGGGTCCCTTTTGGTTCTAGATCATATTTCGGCACCTGATATTTTGGAGTACTTAAATGGGGCCCTAATTTTGAGAACTACCCAGAAGACAGCGGATCGGGGCTTCTGCCTCGCGCGTCTCGAAGAGAGTGCGAAGAGCTCTCAGTTGCTCCTGCCAGTCCGCTTTGCAGCAAAGATCTGACTGTAGAGAGCTCCATACACCTCCATACCAGATCAGCAGTCCATGCGCTAACGGCTCACATCTGCAGCATTGGCTCAACAACTCTATTTTTCTAGCGCAAAGGCAAACATCCTCAGCAAACATCCTCAACCATCCTGCAGAGGTAGAAGCGACTGTACACTGTACATATGGTAGTTTCCCAAAATCGGGAGACCCAATATAGACCCAAATATACTAATCCTTAATATGGGGACCCCCAAAAAGGGACCCCTAATTTAGGGAATCCCCCATAACTGGCTTCTTGGTATGCTGCCTGAGCTGAGAAGAGGGCGAACAGGCTGTCAAGACGTTGCCGGCGCAAAGTGGCGTGCATCACTGCGCTTGCCCAGGGCAGCAGGAGTATGGCTGACATGGGCCCGTCGTCGAGACTCGAGGACCTGTGGGGTTTCCCATAGAGGCGCAAACGGCAGCCGCACTGCTTGCCCACAGTTGCAGGCTCAGACTCTAAGCTAAGCCTTTAGGCACAATGACTACATAGCCGCCTGCAGTCGATGACAAGCGGGATTTGCAATGATCTAGGACACGAGCTTGAGACTCTGCGCACTATGGCACTCCCACTCAAATCTTTACTCCAATTGCGATAACAAGAAGGGACGACCAGCAGACTCTCAAAAAAAGACACATCCAATATTGACACCGGCCACGGGTTGGATGAACATTCTGAGCGCAAGCAAGTAGCACGAGGAGCCACCCTGCAAGCCATCTCTTGATGGAAAGTCGCCAATGTTGGACCGAGCAAGGACGCATCCTGTAGCGACAGCGGTCTCAACAAAGCAGTCTGCCTTTTATTCCCAGATTGGCTTTTGCTTCGCAACACTATAGGTAATCTGAAACCCAAAACCCAAGCCGCTGAAACCACTAACCAAAAACTTCAAAGATCTACGACAAACTCTAAAACCCAAAACCTTAGACCCGAAACTGCTTTGCACTAGACTCAAGCATCGTCCAATCTCCCGGTCTCGTCCCTGCAGGGGGGAAACTGCTGAGCAAGTTAGTTTAGGGTTTAGGGCTCGGGGTTTAGGGTTTAGGCTTTTGGGTTCAAGAATAACCCTACTGAGCCCTGGCCCCAAACCCTGCGCGTTTGGCTTTGGGTGGGTCAACCTTTTGCACTAAACCACAAAGCTATATACGGGCAGGATATATTGACCTGCAAATCTGATCAAAGCAGCGTGAGTCACGTGAGGTCTGGGGGGAAGGAGATTGTCTTTGAATTGGGCACCTGCAGCGACACAAAGCTTCCGCGAGCTGGATTGAGTCTGCCATGGCCTGGTTGGCGCCCTGTCCTATGAAGGGGGACATAGGATGAGCAGCATCACCTATCAAAGCAGTGCGGGCCCCAGTATGCTCGGCACAAAGCAAGGGATCTCGGTCGAACAGGCCACTTGCCCTCAGAGTTGATGGGTTGGTAACCTCGATGATGCTTCGATAGAGCGGACACCACGAAGATGTTTCCCGCATGGCAAGGGCATGCAGCTCTTCCTTGGGTAAGGCGCGGATCGCTTCAATTTGCTTCAGGTCCTTCTCTGGAAATGACAGCTGCCACATGGCCTCCTGCTCCCCCCGAAAAGGCTTCATGAACAATCGATGCGAGCCATCGAGCACGTGCAAACTGCCAGCATGACACAAAGCTAGGCTCGAGTCCACAATTCCATTGATGATTCCAACGCCAAGATACCGCAGCCTGTCGGAAAGCTTTTGCTTGCGAACAGCCGAGTTCACGCCGTCACAGCCAACGAGCAAGGCAGATGACACCTTTCGACCGCTTCTAAGGGTGGCCGTCACCACGTCGTCTGACTCCTCGTAGTCTGCGATCTGCTCAGAAAAGATAATCTTGGTGGCGACCAAGGATTTCGCTAGAATGGCCCGCAACTTCTGACGTGGGACGTAAAAATTGCGCCGGCTCTTGGCGGTACGGGTTGGGACGGGGTGCTGGTGGCCTCCCCCTCCAATTGACCGAATGATTGAGCCCGTCTGTGCATGTACGAAATGCTGGCCTCCACCACCCCACCTTGAGCAACTTTGCACAACATCTAGCAAGCCAAGGGTCTTCAAGGCCTTTTGCCCTGGCTGTTGCATAGTTAGGCTGTAGCCTTGAGGGCGGCTCTCCAGGCTCTGGTCAGCCTCCACGATCCAAATGGACTTGAATCCCAACTGCTCCAGTCGATTGGCCAAAGTCAAACCAGCAATCCCTGCTCCGCATATGAGAATTTGAGGTTCACCCTGATGACCTAGAGATGTGCTTGGGCTGGCAACGGACTGCTGCAAACCCATGCTGCTTGCGGCCTGCTACAAGCGGTGGCTACCTTGTCTCCTTGATCCACCCATAGACTGACAGATACCCGTAGCAAGATCAACACGCAAAGAGCCAGGACAAATTCTAGGAACTGCACCGGTGTCACACAGCCACCATCAGTCCTCCTGAGAAGCAACCCGGCTGTGCACTTCTCGGTTGTCCTCACCGCAGTCAAAATTGATATGATTTGGCAATTGGGCGCAGCTCGGCTTCTGCAAACAGGGGGATTGTTTGGAACAAGATGGGGATCTTCTCTGGAGGAATTGTGATGTTTCTTGCTGAAGTGGACCACTTCAGCTGTCCATCAATACATCTGATTCGGAACGGCCCCACGGCAAAGCAAAGCAGTGCAGAAAGCCTTTTTTCCAGCGAGACACGCCGGGAAAAAAAGTGCCTGCCCCTCACCTGCGCTGCCGGGCACTTTGCCTGCCACGCACATGCAATGCTGCAAGTCAAGACTGGATGACAGTATGACAGTGGAGGCCTGGTAGCCTAGTAGTATGTCTTGCCACCACCTCAGTGCATCGAGTCACCGAGCACAGATGAAACTACCCAAGGCGCTGAGCAGCTGACCCCACTTCTCTGGGATCGTCTGGTTCTGGTAGAGGATGTAGGCAGACATGTCATACAGGTCCTCCAATGGCGCAATGGCACAGTGCTGCAAAGCGAGCCAACCGCAAAGCTCCACAACCCTGATCCCCTGTTCCTGCTGCTTCATGGAGCGCATCTTGGGCCAGATGTCACCGCCCTTGATGGATGGGTGAACCTCTGAGATGTCCTTCAGACCTCATCAGCCACAACCGCATCAACCACACTGCTAGTCGCGTTCAAAAAGCACACGACTGCACGCACATGCACGCACCCAGCTCTCAGCCCACCACCGTCGTAGGTGGTGGGGTTGTTCAGGTAGTCCACCAGGCCTGGACAGCGCTGCTGCCGACATGTCCGGCATCAAGGTGGCACAATGCTCTGCCACTGGTGCCTTCCACGGAGGCTCGGTTGGGCTGTGCCCCGCTAAGCTCCTCGATGGCCAGGCCGACGTTCCTGATGCATGGCTTGTCAAGTCTGAAAAGCCTGGCACATAGGCTTGACCGGCATGCGGACACGGCACTGGTTGGTTCGGGTACCACCTCCCACGTGGCAGGAGGCGCAGGCTGCGT